TAAAAGTAGGTGGCCGGAGAAGCGAGTACCACAGGCATGAGCCTCTAAGGGGGTCTGGCAGCATGCCCCCTCCCCTTCCCCCCTCCAAAAAACTTCAAATTATAGAAGGTTAAATTTTACTGAACATCTTTCTTTTCTTGGAATCCTAATAATGGGACCAGACTACACCCCAAAAAGGGCAGTAGTCCATTAAAGTAAATATTTTATAGAACATCAAGGCCATTCAAGGCAGAAAATATATAAATAGAAACTCCTTTTGTCTCTGTTTGTGTGTATTCATTTGAATTAGTTTCATTCTCTCAAAACGTGGTTGAAAAAATTATTAACCCAGAGTTAGCTTTACTCAGCATTTGGCTATGCTAGAAAGAACTAAAATGCCAAGTCATCGTTGTCAGATCCAAAAGCGGAGTCAGAGTCACAGTCAGTGTCACTCTCTGAACCTTTTGATTGCAGATTAAGGGCCTCTAGAACTTCATCAAGGTCTTCCTCATTTACATTCTTGAGATCATCTCTGCTTCTAACGCATTCTTATGACACCCTGACTCCCTGTGTGTTTCAATAGCATCTGACTTGAATCGGTCAGATGCTACTCCAGAAAATTTGTCGGTTTTGTTCTGGGGAGTTGTAACTCCATGTTTTTTATAAATGATACAAAACATTCCTTCCCCCTCGACATAGCAAAGCCACCAGTTGTCGATTTTTTTCCATCCAGTCATGGTTAAACTTCTTAGGCTTGATTCTTTGCAGTTCCTGCTCAGTGAGTTTTGAACATTTGTTGAAACAGGTATAGTAGTTGTGAAGTTTACCTTGAGTGAACTCTTTTATCAACGCTTCACACTGTACCTATGACAACACAGGATGGATGTTTGTGCTTTCGGCTGTTTTTTCTCCTTCATCAGCACATGCTGCTGAATCACCCGTAGTGGGAATCGCTGGTGTTTGTTGATCGCTGTTATCGCCAGTTTTCTCACTTTCATCAACACGTGCCGCTGAATCACTCGTCGTGGGAATTGCTGGTGTTTGCCGATCGCCCACATCACCGGCTGTTTTCCCATTTTCATCAACATGTGCTGCTAAATTGCTTGTCGTGGGAATCACTGGTGTTTGCTGATCGCTATCACTGGCTGTTTTCTCACCTTCATCTACCTGGCTTTCTGTTCTTCGTGATTTACAGAAATATCGATCAAATTCCAGGCTGGCTTGAAGTGGGTTTTCTTTTACTCATAGGTACTCTATAATTAATTACATACTAAGAATTCATGCCTTCTTTTAACATGCTGAACGCCACACCGCACGTGTTGACAACAAACACCAGTCAGCGGAATTTCACAGAAGGTAGGAGGTGCACATTGGCATTGTGTAATACGTTTTTCTGCTGAAAACGGTTTTCAAGTATTACTCATTCAATTCACGCAATTTTTAACTTTGAAATCTACCTGTAGATACAAAATAAGGAGGTAAGCTTATCACCGAAAAGTAGGCGGCTCTAAAATTTAAAGTAGCCGGTTTTTTAGCCGGCTGCTAGCACTAAATTAGAACCTTGATCAGTACTTTACACTTAGGCAACATTTCTTATTTGCTTCATCTAAAGCACCACTGCACCAACTAAAACCTTAGTATGAAGGGAAGGTAGGAAAACCAGGCCAATTGACAAACTTACCTTTTGGTTCCATTTTAAACAGTGATGTGAGTGCATTTCTAACAATTGCTAATTCTGCAGGATCCTCTGAGAAAGAAATATTTATAATGCACAGGTTAGATCACCCTATATGAACCCTTTTTAGCTATTTCAACCCCATACACCCTAACATATATACATACATACATAGGTTAATTGACCACTCCCCATAGGGGCTTTTCAGGGCCAATTCCCACCCATCCCACCCAGGGGAGGACATCCACCACACAGTTATCTCGTGCG